AGGCAAATCTACAACACCTTCAACACTTTGATGTGCACCATCTGCCGTCAATACATGGTTCAGATAAGGGTTTCTGATTATTAAATCAAGATTTTTTATTGTCCTTAAACCTTCCTGACCTATAACTGACATATTGGCACCACTATCTAAAAGTGCAATTATCTCTACATCAAAAAGTTGAATTTTTACATAAGGCCTATTATCAGTACCTTTTTTCACTAATAAAGGAGCAACAAAATTATGGACATTTTCTATCTCATCCTTCTCAATAGTACTATTTAAATTTAGAAAATTGGCTCTAGAAAAGTTTGGAGAAAGTTGAGAGCCTCTGTCAACAATCTCCTCTTCTAGTTTCCCTTACACTTAGCACAATCCCTCAATACTACATCAGGTGCTCCACATTTAAAACAAAATTTCTTTTTGATACCTGACTTGCAAGCTCTAAAAGTATGATTTGCTAGATTGCATTTCCAGCAAATAACAGGATCTCTACTAGTATTGGCAGAACCAATTGATGAAGAAGGAGTAGGGGTGTTATTATAGGTTGAACTGCTAGCAATGGAACTGACATGACGACTTTTATTCTTCTGAAATTTATTTCCAAAATGTTTACCTCTAGATGAGAGTGATTTATCAGTATTTGAATTCGAAACATAAGCAATTTCAGGATCATCTAGCATTGAGATGGACCTATTTTGGGAAGTAGAACTAGGACATAGCAAATCAGATTCTTCTAACTTCTTACATAAAGTACCTAAAACTGAAACTGAATCGATTTCACTCAAAGCCAGCCTACGTCTGTAATCAGACCTTAACCCCATTTTGATATACTTAATTTTCGTGATCTCAGCTGCTCCATGACTGAGTCGATTAAAAAGTGCCTCCATGCAAGCTATGTAAATGACCACAGGTTCTGAATTACCTTGTTTCCTATTCTTAATCTGTTGCCATACTTCATCCTCAAAATCAGAAACCAAAAAATCCTTTCTAAGTTTCAAAACCAAAGAGTCCCAGTCAGTCACTTGAGATTTAACATATCTGTACCAGAAAGTTGCTTTCCCAGTGAAAAGATCACTTGCAGATTCAAATAGGTCAATTTTTGAAATGTGTCTTGCTTGTGCAAGTTCATCAACTTGTTCTATGAACGATAAAAGGTTCCTGGAATCACCATCAAATTGAATTCCTAACTTGTAAACAGGGGTTGATTTCATTGAACTCTGTGAAAAATAATTTTGACTGGTACTTGCTAAAGGTCTCATTAATGGGTTAACAGTTGAATTCATCAAAGGTGCATTGACTGGGTCAGGCTCTGGGTCAGAAACTTTATCATGCAATTCTGCATCTAGTTGTAATGCTGTTGCATAGGCTTCGTTTTTAAATAGTGACTTTTCCGCAAAATTTGGATCATCTGCACTTAAGGGTATTCTCTGAATCCTGAAAGTTATATGGGATATTCTTGATAGTGCCCTCTTGAAAGTAGAATCAGTAGATGGTCCCTCAAAGTCACTAATTAAAGTTTGTATTGATGTTAAAGTGCTTTCTATTTCAACTTTCTCTGATGCATAATTAAAGGAATGGTCAATCAAACTAAGTACATTCAGTCCCTGTTGTGATTCTTTAGCAAGCAGACGTCCTAAAATTTTTCTTTTCTCATCCATGCTACGTTCAGAAATAACACCTCTAATCCTCAATTCATAATTGAGTTCTCCTATGAGCAAATGCTTTGCCTTAAATGAATCCATGATTACAAATCTGAGCAAGAACAAAGAGAACAAATGAAAATATCAAAGTATTGACAGTCACAAAAAAAATCAATAAAATTTCACTGAAAATTATCTGTCAAAAATGTTACCAGAAACGATTAATCAGAATTGAAATTTTATTTACTACTTTATTGGAGAAACTTCAAAATTGCAAATAACTCCCAAATTTGTCAACAGTAGTATACTCACCACTGTGCTCACAAGTGTGACAAAGTCCAATTTTCCTGTGAAAACTTTATTTTCATCTGCGTCCTGTACCTATATATATACCTCTTATCACCAATAGGACCCGATAGAAGTGCTTTTACTCATCTAAGTGCTCAACACTCACAATTTAAGAAGATTAATCAGAAAATTTTGAATTTATTATGAACTTGAAATTTCAAACTTGAAATTTCGTGCCTCAACACGTTGGACGCTATTTATGTGGCCTACTTTTTTATATTGATTGATATAAACCAAAATTGTATAAAAATATAAGACACATGTGCGAACGGCAGCTCTTCGCCAGAGAACAGATAAGTGGATTCGTTGTGATTGCAGATAGTTAAATTTCAAGTTTAGAGGGCGCCACTCAATTTATAAAACAATTACTGATACTTGGATAATTGAGAAAACCAATTAGTTGGATACTTACAGTATTTCCCAAAACTTAATCCTGAAATAGAAATATGAAAAAAATCTTCTTAAATGGCAGTGTCAACACAAATAGATGAATAAAACCATATCAAATTTCAGACCTATTTATTATCACCATAACAGACAGGGTTTATAAAGACCAGTGTAGAGACCAAGATGACAGAATATGTAGCATGTGTTATCATGAAATATCTTAAAGTAATGTGACCATAAAATATCATAACCATGAAATGACTGTTTCTAGAGGAATTCAAAATTATTGTATAAGTTACCAAAATTTATCAATCTACACCATGACAATTACCACCTTTTTATATGACTAGCGTTTGGGTATAGCAATCATCATATTCCAACTATAAAACGGGATGTATAAATCTCAAAAAATTTGATTAGACAATAATCTGAAAAAAACCTGAAACCGCTGTCACATAGTACTATGGGAGAGCTTCACAAGAGCTTCATACATGTTAAATATGGTTATGATCAAAATGTTGAAATATTAAATCAGATTTAAAATATGATGGAATAAAAAAACCTGGTCTATTGGAGGGTCCTCTCCAATGGTCTAATCACCCCTATCCGAGGTCCACTATGGTGAGTAGGCATGCTGTGAAGATGAAGATGGAAACAGGAACGAAGACAGGAACAAAAAGAAGTTGATGGACCTCCACAGTCCACAGTAGGGCTCAGTGGTGTGGCTCAGCCGGTCAGCTTGACCGGTTACTACTGGGCTTGATCTGGGCCACCTGTCGACTCTGGTCAGGATAAAATGAGCGACCTGGTCCTCTTGGGAATCATGACCAAGGTCGAGAGATTATCCCTACAGCTGTTCGCTACTAGAAGCCGAAGGCAGCTAAGCCATACCCTAACACCCTGTTAAAAAATTAACAGGTTGATATAACCTCTTGACAGACACGTGGAGAGCAGAAAAAAACTGATATTGAAAGGAAATATTGCTCACCAAGTTGATAGTCATTGCTCTGCATATGACTTACCTTCTGAGAAGGGAGGAAGGACTTGAAGAACAATTAGTTTGGAGTCTTCATACGCTGAAAAAAGCCGGCTGCAGGGCTTCCTGGGGACATCAGGCAGTCTCCGAAAAGTGGGAACAAATCCTACACAGGTCCATGGCCAGAATCACTGATGTTTTTGAACAATTTCAAAAAAATTTCAAATCCCCCGAAGGGTTTCTACGGATTATACCGAGAAAAGAAAAAATGCTCAAACTGGCTCAAGTGCACACCATGACGGTCGCCGAGAAAAAGCATCGAGATAGCTACCGGAAATCTCCTCCTAAAATTCCCTATCTAAACTTATCTTATCTAAAGAAGTGCTTCCTGCCAAAATTCAGCGCCAAATATGAAATCCTATTATTTCATTGGTCAGAAGAAAAACACAAGAATTACTAGGTCCAAACTAACAGAAGAAGTACCGAAGAAAGAAAAGAAAAAGAAGAGTCTTCTTTTTCTTCGGTAGTACTATGTCACAACATTGTAAGATTGTGCTTAAGTCCTACTCACAGAAGATGAGTGACATACTGGACAATGACGTTTGGATGACAATATTATAACCCTAAAATAAATTCCAGAAAATAAAGAAAATAATTCTTCCAACACCGAAAATACCATTTCAGATCGAAAAATCACCTTGAATAATCCCTGAAATAAACCAGCGACATGGGCTCTATCACACCTGCAAACACAATGGTAAGTCGTTTGTTTACTCTCGGAAGGGACAACAACATTGAACTATTTCTTCGAATTCTAGGCCTCTAGGATCAGAACGCCAGAAATCAAAGACTCCTGCAGCTTATATCATCACCTCCCATCGGCACATAGAAATTCAGAAGACATTACTAATCCATGACTGTTATTATTTCTATGCTGTTATTCAAAAATGTGTGATAAGGTGGTTCATTAAAAGTTACATTCAAGTACTTCAGGATTATTTACCAAGTATCAGACTGAATGTTCTCTGTAAGTATGACTTCTTGTCTAGATCTGAAAGGTTAATATTTACAAAATGGTAATGTATGAAACAAAAAATGAAAATGATTCTTTGCAACTTCAAATGTTGCACTAAAGCAAATTCGCTTGAATTTTCATGCAAACGATACTAAAAATTATTTTGTAGCAATTTCAAATGCTACAATACAATACTACTGCCCTGACCCAAAACATTCTCACGTTGTCAGTAGGTAGTCCCGGAGTCTAGTCCAGCCCCTCTCTTCCACAATTCTCCAAACCACGTGACCCGACTCTAGCCAATCACAGGCCTGCTTGGAAATGTCACGGAACACCACCGAAATGTCACCGAACACCACAGAAATGTCACGGAAAGGTCACGGAACACCACTGAAATGTCACGAAAACGTCACGGAACTCCACTGAAGTGACACGGAACATCACGTGAATGTCATGGAAATGTCACGGAACAATGGAACACCACGGAAATGTCACGAAAACGTCACGGAACATTTCAGTGGTGTTCCGTTACGTTTCCGTGGTGCTTCGTGACATTTCCGTGGTGTTGCGTGACATTTCCAAGCCGGCCTGTGATTGACTAGCGCTCATCACATTCCCCTCAACAACTTCTCACCTATTATGACGTTATATCCTATATCTTGATATGCCTTGGTAACGTTGGCAGAAGCAGAATCGACGGTTAGTCCGCCATATCCGTGCACAACTATTTTTAGTGGGACTAGAACGTTGAACTCTCTCGGCAATCGTGGTTCGATTGGATCTATGTCGTAGTAGGCGATGCGATCGCCCTTTCCTATCGACAGAATGAACTTTATCACTCCGGGATGGCACGGTTCTTCAAAATAGATAGGACAGTCACCAAGGTAGAACTGGTAACAGTTAAGCTCTCGTAGTAGACCTGAAAAATAATTGTGTTGGTCGATCACTAACCCCAGAAATATTGAATAATTGTTTTTATTTTTCAATTTAAATGCCTCCTTATTGTGAGGCATAATATATTGAAAAATACGTATTCTTTCTCAGTGATAACCAATGGATCTGAACTCATGTAGAACAAACGTATCCTGATGAGGAGCATGTTAGATACTGGAAGAAACACAAACGAAAAGATCTTCCCAAAATTCCATTCATGAATATTTTTCTAGGTACTATGGATTTCCATCAAATAACAGCCGAGTCAATTCAAAAGCTAGATACTTTTTATGAATCATAAATCATTGATGTCTGTGAATTTTATACCTGGAATTTATTTTTTCTCAATATGAATCATTGAACTATTGATTCATCTGTTCAATCTCTTCAGTTCTAGACCTATGCTTTTTCATCAGCAGATTGGCTTTCGTCGAGATAGCACAGTTTTTTTTTACTACTTATAATTTTTGAGATTATGTGAACGTCTGTGAACGCTTAAAAATGTTGTTGTTGTTTGTTCTCTACGTATTCTTTCAAATATGCATGTGTTCGGTTTCAACACAATTTTTTTAGCTTATTATAATGTAGCAAGAGAAAATATCCCAACTTTTCCTTATCAGATGTAATATCCCTAGGACATTGATAATAGACGAGATAAGTTTATGGCAATCGAAAGCTTGTTCCTTGTTACCAAGAAACGAGCTCGAGATATTTGTCATAAAATTATGAGGCATTTGTCAATGTCCGAAGGATATTCGGCGGAAAATTTTTTGGAAAAAAATTTATTACTCGACAGGACACAACGAAACATTTATTTATTTATTAAAAGTACAGTTGGTGAAAGTACAATTATTAGAACATTAGATTCGTTGCTGTTCTCTACTATATAAGATCTATTACCACGCATAACATTTATGATCTTGTTGTGATGTTCTTGATCTAGATTTAGGTATGGTTTTATTGAACTTTCATTGCTATGACCAGTAATTTTCGGTAATTGTTGTTCTCCTACACTACTCTTTGCAAATTCGCTTACAGCAGTAGATCTATTCGAGTGATTTGTAATCTTTTTGTCCTTCACATTCAAGCCAATTGCCGCAGCAGCAGATTTAGTCCATCCATTCATTGTATTTCTTTCAACAGGTACATTATCGTACCATTTGTCAGTTTCATTTTTCCAGTGTCGATTTGGTTTCAAGAACAGTCGTGTTGAGGTAATATTGTCGCCTCGTTTTGATATCAGTTTCTGAAAAAGACGTACTGGGCAGCTGTGTATTTCACTATTGGAAACCAACCATTTACTACTAATACAGCTTTTAGAACCACCTTGGCACGTTTTACTGAACACCGGATTGTATTCAATGCGATTTGTTGGAGAGTCATCGATATTTTTCTCGCATTAAAAGAAATCCACCAGACAAGCAACTGCCTCTCCTCCTCGCTACGCTAATTCGACAGCAGCATCAATATGGTAAAATTTACGCATGAGACCTTCAGGAGTATTTTCATCCCATAGCAATACTATTTTGTTAACTTCAGACAAACTTGACGAAACTGAACTGGACTTACGTTTACATGGATCTGCTTGTAGTTTCTTCCTGATTGCATCGCGGGCATCCCGGGCTGGTTTGAATACTATATTGTTAAACGGGTCGATCATAATATTATAGTCATTATAATACTTTTCTTGCAAAAGTATGCACGAAACGTTCCACATTGTTTTCACCGTCGCTTCTTTATATTCGGTCCCGTTTTTCTTTCTCATATTGACTGCCCAATCTTTCAGTATTAACGCCAATTCTTCTAAGCTTCTATGTTCATTTAATTCAAATTCTCGTTCGCAGCAGAATTCCATGAACATTCTCCAAATATATTTGTTACTGTAGGTTGTATTTTTGGGAATATTTCCCTTGATTAGCGCATTTATACTTTGAACATTCGCATTGCCAAAGCGTGACATTTCGAAATTTATTTCGAATGAAGTTGTCAAACTCAATGGTGTCGTTCGTTTATCCTGGTGTCGTCATAGTGATTGATAATTGCACTGAATGCAATTATCAGTATAATGTTGGATTGATTGGTTGTGTTCAATCATGTGACCACAAATTATTAGATTTCATTGGATTTCTACTTAACCAAAAAATTTTCAGTGAAATTATCCCGCTCAATGATCTACAACAATAAGAACATTGAAACACTCATTCCAAAGCGAGAATTACTCTCGAGAACTGGGGGAAAAGTGCAACGTTTCGGGCAATATTCATCCAAGAGATGCTAAGGCACTTGATGATTTCTCCTCTCTTCCTCAAAAATACCAAGTCATTTTTGAATAATTCATCTATGAAACTAACGAAAAAAAATTATTGAAGAACTGAAACTAAGAAGTAGGTATAGTATTTATTTATTCAATATACATCCAGCATGCCTAAGCCCAATTATAGCAGTACTTACTTAATATAGATTGCAACATGTGGTTGACAATATTATAAATAAAAGTAGTGATAGTGATTCATTTCACTTGATTCTTTGGGATTTTCTCTCCTCTTTTCTATAAAATAAAAGTATTCGTATTTTTTCAATATATTTGTAGAGATCAGATGATTTGCCCCAAAATGTCACTGCGTTTAACAAATTTCTCTATCAGGGAGCCTCAAGGAAAAATCCAGTAGCTTGTCAGTGACAATTTGTTAGAAAAAATGTTCGAAGGAGAGAAATATAGATATATTGAAAAAATATCGAATTTTTACTTATCTTTTGGACGTTTCGGGACCGATTCTGCTGCAAAATATGTTTCTTTGAAAGTTGTGCTGCTTATATTTTGACACTTTTCAGAGTCATACTGATGTTGGCATGTGAATGAGTGATTTTAGTCTACAAATGAGTTACAGGATGTTTCCATTAATTGATCTTTCAAATCTATCATTTTCATGTTTCGACACAAACAAATCCTAAAGTTGAAAAATCTCGATTTTTAACACCCTATATCTCTGTAATCATTTTCGATAGACCCTGAGTGTGATGTATCGATGAAATTAGCTCTCCAGGGAGAATCGAAAAATGCAATAAAATACAAAGAATTCTATTTGAAATAACAAAATTGTTTCTATTTTTTTATAGAAGCGGCAACACTGCAGTGCTGAAAATATTCTAAATGAAGAGAACATATTTTAAAATATAAGCATGCATATTTTCATGGATTTCTCCCGACTGATTCTCGATATAGAGATAGTGTAAGCTCGTTGAGACATACCCTGTATAGTAACTAATGAGTTCATATGTTAGTCAGAAAGTAACTTGAAAACGGTTTGTCTAAATCGATCCGGACTGGGGAAGATAATATCGACTGTCGCAAGTTTATTACAATTTAAGAATTGAATTCATGTTGTCTATTTGGAATGTTGTGGTGGAAGGTATAATGATACCGGAAGGCTAGTCGTGGTATATTGAAACCTATTAGTAGTATCTTGGGAATTGTGTATGATCTTGTGTATGAATATGAGGTCACCGATATCTCTTCTGTGATTGGAACTTGAATTCGTTCAGAAGGAGTACATAATTATAATTTCTTCCAGGGTAACGTTTGTATTTTTTGTAGAATAGATATTTCAGGAACTTCTTTTGTACTATCTCAATTGCTGAAATAGTTTGTTGCTGATATATGTATTCCAAATTCGACTGCAGGATTCCAGTTTACTTCTAGCTAACGAATTAAACAACAGACAAAGGCATCTAGTGAATCGAATTCACTACATTACAAAGCTTCTGAAATTATTGCTTCGTAGTGATAAGTGAAAGTTAGATCATGGTCGTGAACGATACATAAGTCCTTCTGCTGTGTTACTCTTGTTAGTGACTCTTCGTTATCATGTCATTACTTTACACTTGTGAGTATTCAATGCAGGTTCATCCACTGAACACCAACGCCAGTTTTCTAGGGTATCGGGTCTTTGAATCATTTTGTAGTGAGATATAATCTGTTGGGCCATTAATGTGTTTGTATAATTGAACAAAAGGGATCCTGATCTGATTTCAGTGCATATATCATTCAGAAATAAAATAAGTAATAGTAGTGGTCCCAAATCTGGACCCTGCGGCTCACCTGATGTTGCAATCAATTCTGAAGATTTGTCTCCTTCATATTCAACGAATTATTCCAGCAAATATGATTTCAGAATATTAATAAGGTTTGCAGAGTAGCCAAAAGAATTCAGTTTTCAGAGTAGCCTGTTTTGCGCCACGCGAATGTCTCACTAAAATCTGTCCAAATTACATCTACTTGCGATATTGAATCGAGGGCGTCCGAGACAAATTCAGTAAATATGCAAAGGGATGGCGACATGGCGATGTTTCACGGCCTTCCATTAAACCATATTGGTTTTCGAAAATTGGATGCTGAGTATATGCATACATCAAGTCTGCCACAAGGATTACAAATAATTTTGAAATGACAGAAATCAGAGCGTTGCACCTAAAAGGACCCCGCAAATTTTCAAGGTAATTTGGGTCCCGGTGGATTTTTCTCAATTTTTGGTATGATGTAGTTCATTTGATTCAATTACATATTGGCTATGCGCCAACCCCCAAAAATGAACAGTTTTTTTGCTAGGGGGGGGTTGAATTCACATCATGACCGAATTGATTATTCATTTCTGAGAGAATGAACAATATTCTAGAATTTTTTATTTCATCTAATTTCTCCTATGAATATAATTATGCTTTTTGAAAAAAATATAGTGAGAAGGAATTATTACCCCAAACTCCCATTTTGAAAAACGAAAAAAAAAAGAGAATTCGCCTAACCGTCAGAAGTGATAGAAAATGTTCCATTACCTAGAATTATGGAAACCGCCTTTTTGTATTATTGCCCCTCACCGAATGGGAGGCGCCCATGAAAAAAAAGTTCGGTGGATTTCGCTGAATTTCTGATATGATGTACTCTATATGATACTGATCCTGAAAAATGAACAGTTTTCCTGCTACAGGGGAT